AAATACACTGTGTTAATAGTCGCCACTTACTTCAATATCCCCATGCTTTAAAAATGAAATGGATTTCATTTATGCACTACAGTACCTAGCAGAAAGCGCAATAAAATTATTTCCCCCTTATAAGAACACGCTGTAAAGGCCCATTAAGACATAATTACTGCCAAAAAGGCATTTTACATTTCCTTGAGATAAGCTGCACTAGTGTACTTTGAGATTTCACTCCCATTGATTCAGGATTAGAGCAGCATGTTTAGATAATAAGCAGAAGGGTCTCAGATAACAGCCTGAGTGAATCATCGGACTACAGCGTTTAGTCAGAGAAAGTGTGTTTATCTGAAGGGCTCTTGGGACTAATACRGTTCCTCTTCAAAGCTTGAAGCAGGGGGTAAGAATCATAGTCCTGCAGGTTGGCAGGATAAACATGTCCTGTGATTTGCTGGCAATTTGAGAGATGGATTTCAGCACAGAGCGCACTGCTGTTGTCAGGTTGAAAAGTGTCTGCCTGGAAATGAATTCACGCTCACAACAGCCCCAGACAAAGGAAAATCTCCCTGAAATGGCATGCCATCAYATTTTAAGGCCAATTTTTCAAGTCTCTGACTCACACCTGGGAAATATACCGGTGCACTAAGTTTATCATAAAAAGCTCAGGTTTTATCAGACAAAAATTGGCACAATAATCTCGGAACGTGCTGTCTCACTGACTGGTAGAGAAACCCATTTTTCTTCAGACTCGCCTGCTTTGTATCTGAAAACAATTTTTGCCTCCTCTGCATATCAGATCAGATTGTTTTCCAGTGAAGGGAACTCTGCTGCTCTTTTAGCGTTCGGCGTGAGGTCTGCACCGAGAGATTGGGTAATGTGTCATACAGAGCAAAGCTGTGGCAAGAATAAAAGCTCCTGTGTCAGTCAACAGTTTATAAATACAGCAGGAGAGATAACTGCTGTGTGTTCTCCATCAGGAGCATGCTTCTGGGCTCCAGAAGTAGCAACATATTTTTAAGCTGGGAGAGAGGGTGAGAAAGCGTAAATGAGCTAACAGAAGGTTTCTATAACTCTGTGTGGAGGCTTTTTGTGTGCTGGTGGAGCAGTTGGGGGTTGTCACTCTCTGAGAATAATTGTGAAGGGAACTGAAGGCAGGATAAAGCTCTTGAGGGCTGAATGTCCTCTCGTTTGCACCTGCAAGTTTGCTGGAAATCAAAGAGTTTATGTCAGTTTAGATTAAATATATGTGAAAGAWGGTTATTTTTACGATGCATTGATTAAGGAAAGGAGAATCCCTAAATTACCTCCAACAGCACCACTTCCAAACTCAGTGGACATGGGTGAATTTCAAGGGAAAGTTACTAAAAAAATGTCCCATATGGGTGAACAAGGAAGGTCAAGCTATCTTTATGCATGCTAATTTACATGTTCAGATTTCCATTAAGTTTGTCCTRTGTACTGCACATGCCATATTGTGGCTAGCTTTGAGAGTTAAAAGCTGAAAAAAATAAACTTCCTCAATTTAGWAAATATGATCTCATTCTCACATTTAGTTTGTTTGGCTTTATTTGCTTCTTTTTTTGGTTTTAGTTGAAATGTAGATGCAAAAAAGAAAAGTTTTGGGTTAAGAATATTCTAGTCAAAGAGCCAAAGGCACCATTGATAAGCAACCAGAGGAATTACTGACAGAGTCTTTTAGATTTGGTTGTGCCACTGAAAAAACAGGGTGAGCATCAATTTTTTGTTCATTTCCTTGCTTCACACCATACTTAGAAGGTTTTTTATAAGTAAGGTCTGTTTATGACATCCCAGCTACAAGGTGCTGCATCAATACCTGCTCCTSAAACTCTCTGAGGTAAATGTATTCTGTCTGAAATTGATTGTGGTGAACAAACTCAGGCAGCCCAGGTGAAGAGGGTGGTGAAAAGTTGGTGTAGTGAATTTAGTGAAAGATAACTTCTTGCACCAGCCCTTACACTCTTTAGAAAATGCCTCTTGTTTATGCTTTCAGTGGAAAAAACAGCATTGGAAGAGCACAAAAAGGGCAAATGATGGTGTATAAAATATGTATCCAGAGTCYATGGAACATCTGTCTACTTCATGAGATGAGAAATTGGTTGTCATAATTGGGTCTGTGTATGTGCATGAGAAGAGAAAGGTCAGTAGTTAGATATTCAATATTAAATGTATTAATGTTTCTGGTTTTCACACTGTTTGAATGTTTGAAGTTTTGCTTTTTTTTTTTTTTTTTTTTTTTTTTTTTTTTTTTTTTTTTTTTTTTTTTTTTTATATATTTGCAATGTTTCACCCTTAACTCTTTCGG